CGACAGCTACAGCGCCAGCCTCTCTCAGGACACAGGTCAGCCAGCGCCGCCCGGCCGGCGGGTTACGGCCGAGCCCGCGGGGCTGCAGCCAGCCCCCGCCGCCGTACTCGGCTCCTGCCTTTGCTGTACAGCTTGTCGCTACCTGGGACGTGCCAGCGTTAGGCACGCGAGTTTATTTTGAGCAACCACCAGAATACACGAGGATCCCAGAATCCGAGTTCACTGTCAGGGTATTTAACAGTCCATTATTTAACCACTGCTTCTTGTGGTTGCGTTAACATTCGTGATCCAATTTCTATAGAAGATCGTTAGTAATACACTAAAACAGACACACGTATCTGTCCTCTGGTGCAAATTGTCACCCTTCCCATGCACCTCCATGGCGAGTGGGCGGTGGTGAGGTTTCTTCCGCTTTGGGCTTGGGGCCGCTCAGGGTTATTGGGCATGCTTCAGCCCTGCACTTGTCCCCGGGGTGTGCTTTCCTGTCCTAGCGGTCCATGGCTTAGCTGTGATCATTCACGTTGGCTAGTTCCCTGTATACTGTATGATTTCCTTTGGGGAGCAGAACCGCCCTGTTGTACAAACCTAAGCGAAAACTGAGCTAGAACAAGTTGTAAGCAGTAATACAGCTAAAACAAGCTCAGACCCACAGGACCTGACCTTTTGCGGGATTTTTGCTGTTACAGCACACACAGGACAAACAGCAGCCACCGGATCTGGAATAAGCTGCAGGTGCAGCAAAAGTTTATTATATAATTTTTGCAATTACAGCTAAAATCAAGTTTAAAAGGGTTCAAGACCAGGCAAGGCCTGAGGCCTGGTACAGCTAAGTACTGTTTTTGAAGCCTAAGGCCTAACACTACTACTGACAACACTGATTTACCTGCGCCATAGGCTTATACCATCTCTGCAAAGTCTGCTGCAAGCTCCTGGTCCCCCTCCCTGGGGGCTGCTCCGTGGGTCTTGCGGTGTCTGAGCAGAGGCGGTCTGTGCCCAGGCTTGGGGCACAGCAGTGTGTGCACGCCAGCTGCGATACCCTAGACGTTTTGACCGCTAGGACGAGGTGAAAAGCAGCATTTCCAGGGCAGGGGAAATTCTGAGGTTTGGACCTGTCCTTCCTCCACAGACAAAGGGCGGAACAGCATGGTGTCGACAGAAAGCGCATCCTCCACCTACGAGGAGCTGGCCCGAGCCTATGAACACGCCAAGCTGGAGGAGCAGCTTCAGCACGCCAAGTTTGAGATCACCGAGTGCTTCATCTCCGATAGCTCCTCGGACCAGATGACCACTGGAACGAACGAGAACGCCGACAGCATGACGTCCATGAGTACCCCCTCCGAGCCCGGCATCTGCCGCTTCACAGCCTCTCCGCCCAAGCCCCAGGACAGCGACCGAGGCAAGAACGTGGCCGTGCCCATCCCGCACAGAGCAAACAAGAGTAAGTGTGGCTGCAAGGCCTGGTGCTGGGGGCGTCCAACCATATATCTGGGGCAGGGGGGAGATGATGTCTGACCCCTCTAGCTAAGATATCAAGGGGGAGCCAGCACTACAAGCAGTCCTTGCTTTTCCTCCGTCCCATAGATGGAGAGGAATTTGTCTCCCGAGGGGAATCCATGTTCCTGGCACATGTAAATACAGGTGTGGAGCAGAAACTCCTCTGTTCCTCTTATGGAAGCAGTGATTTAAAGCTAGCCACCACCATACCGCTGCGTTAACCAAAAGCCTTCAGGCACTGTGCGTGCTTGAACCTCTCACTGCCTCTCAGCTGGTTAGAAATGCTCGATCGCGTTAACTGCAATGAGGTGAGCGTGCAAAGGAGCGGGCCGGTCCTGCCCGGGCTCTGCACTGCAGATGTTAAGTTAGCAACGGCACCTGAGATCAGCGTTGTTGCACGGCCGTAGAAAGCACCTGTCTGGTTGTGGAGGTCTCCACCCTCGGGGGCACCAGGCCTCTCTTGCTACCCGCTCTCCCTCCCTGCTCAGTCCTGGAGCAGCCAAACGTCAGGAAGGTGCACCCGTCAGCAAGCGTGAAGCGCGAGACCCAGACCGGCCCTTCACACTACCTTTATTGCAGATGATGACACCCAACTGAGGCTCCTGCCAAGGAGCAGTATTTAAGGCTCTGATCGGTCTTGGAGAGCTGCCACCACTAAAAACACACAGGGATGACCCCAGAGGGGCTGTAATGAAGCCAGGAAATAATTCTCTTGTTTTGTGATTCCTTGCAGATAGTCTCCCCATTACCAGGCAGGCAGAGCGGCCGTGTACGCCGTATGTTAGGTATTTCCCTTTCGTAGCGTCAGGTCTCATTCATCTTCAGAGAGACGAGTATCAAAGAGCGGGGAGCGCTCCTCTCTTGACCTGCCAGGGAAGCAACAAAGGCAGAGCCAGTTCCCTGGGCTGCAAGCACAGTTCACTTCACTTTGTAGAGAGGAGGGCAGCAAAGAACAGCGGGAAAACAGGCGCCGGCTCTCCCACCCGCACGGGGTCGCGCCCTTGCTTCCAGCAACCAGCTCCCAACTAATCTCCGAGCGTCTCCGACACCTCACCCGGGTCTGCTTTCCCCCACAGGCGACTACTGCAACCTCCCGCTGTACGTGAAATCGGAAGCCTTCTTCCGCAAGCCAGACATGCACGACCCGTGCCCCG